TACATAATAAATAAGAGAGGGCCGAGTATACTTCCCTGAGGAATGCCACAAATGATTTCTTTCTCCACCGAGAGTATACTGGCCAATTGACAACTTTGAGTTTGGTGCATCAAATAGCAACGTAAAAGATTTAATGCTTTCCTTTGGAAACCATACATTTCAAACTTACTTAACAGTATTTCGTGGTCGACTGTATCGAATGCTTTTTTTAGGTAAAAAAAACCAACTAAGTTATACAGCCCACGGTCCATGTTGGTATACCATTCGTTCGTACAATCCAATAATGTAGTAGTTGTGGAATGATAAGGTCTGAAACCAAATTGGTGTTTTGAGAAAAGATTATTCTGGTTAAGATACTCATACATTTGATCATACATAATTCTTTCCATAAGTTTACTTCCCGGCTTACCCAAGGAATATTGCCCCCTTTTCTTAATCTTTTTACTCTCACAGGGGCATGTTTACCCAGCACATCTACAAAAAATGTTTTCCATAACCGCCACATTTCATCTACATTTCTTTTAAATCTTATTTCTTCCCAAGGTATATTTTGTAAGTCATATAGAAAGCCTGAAACATTGAAATTCTTAAAATTTCTATACTGGACAGAACCTTGTAAATCAGTTTTTATTCTTGTTCTTATTTTCCGAATACTATAAATGAGGCTGTGATTACTAATTCCGAGATGGACTACACCTGAAAAAATTATTTTTTCAGGCATTGACGCAATTACTACATCCAATAATGATTGGCTAGACTGGGTAATACGCGTAGGGTTATTAATTAATTGTGTAAGCTGATATAATTCCAAAACGTCTTGAAGCTTTCTAGTGGTGGACAAAGTTGGTTCTAGCATATTACAATTTAAATCTCCTAAAATATAAAATTCTATATTTTCATCATCAATTGATTTGATTAGCCTCTCAATTTTTATAAACACTTCACTACTATAAAAGATTGACTATTAGCCTGCTTAATTTCCACACAGACAGCTTCAAGGCCTGTTGGAACTAGATCAGGGCGATTTTCATAATTTATATGGCGTCTTATATAAATACATACCCCTCCTCCATTTCTATTCCGATCAGCACGTAGCAAGTCATAACCTTCAATGCTAACAATCCCATCGGAAATAGTGGAGTCCAAACGGGTTTCATTAACTGCAAAAACATCTAAATATTTATCGTGAAGTAATAATCGGATTTCATCAAGGTGTTTCGGAAGGCTAACTACATTAAGCATAGCCATCTTAAAACCCCTTGTTTTCGGAATATTTAAACAGGCATCATTAGCACTCCTCCTCGACCCGTCCTCATACCATCTAATAGTAATAGATTATTTCTTATAGTATAGATTCTAATCAAGTAATAGATTCTCTAAATTAATGAAAGACAACAGAATATTGATCATCGGAAGCTATATAAAAGGGTTCAGAATTTCTGAACCCTGAAAATCGATATGAAATCAATGAACATGTTGCAGCATAGGTGGAATATTCACAACGAAGAAAGCTTAGTAAAAGGAGTTCAGAAATTCTGAACCCTGAAAATCTAAAATCAATGAACATAAGCGGAATATTTACGGTGAAGAAAGCTAAAAGGGGTTCAGAATTTCAGAGCCCTGAAAATCTGAAATCAATGAACATATAAGCGGAATATTTACGGTGAAGAAAGCTAAAAGGGGTTCAGAATTTCAGAGCCCTGAAAATCTGAAATCAATGAACATATAAGCGGAATATTTACGGTGAAGAAAGCTAAAAGGGGTTCAGAATTTCAGAGCCCTGAAAATCTGAAATCAATGAACATATAAGCGGAATATTTACGGTGAAGAAAGCTAAAAGGGGTTCAGAATTTCAGAGCCCTGAAAATCTGAAATCAATGAACATATAAGCGGAATATTTACGGTGAAGAAAGCTAAAAGGGGTTCAGAATTTCAGAGCCCTGAAAATCTGAAATCAATGAACATATAAGCGGAATATTTACGGTGAAGAAAGTTAAAAGGGGTTCAGAATTTCTGAACCCGGAAAATCTGAAATCAATTAATATAAGCGGAATATTTACGGTGAAGAAATCTAAAAGGGGTTCAGAATTTCTGAACCCTGAAAATCTGAAATCAATTAATATAAGCGGAATATTTACGGCTATAAGTAAGAAAACTAGAAGGGGTTCCGAATTTCTGAACCCTCAAAATCTGAAATCAATGAACATAAGCGGAATATTTACGGTGAAGAAAGCTAAAACAGTAAAAGGGTTTCAGAATTTCTGAACCCTGAAGATTTAAAATCAATGAACATAAGCGGAATATTTACGGCTAAGAAAACTAAAAGGGGTTCAGTATTTCTGAACCCTGAAAATCTGAAGTCAATTAATATAAGCGGAATATTTAGGGCGAAGAAAGCTAAAAGGGGTTCAGAATTTCTCAACCCTGAAAATCTAAAATCAATGACATTGAACTATAAGCGGAATATTTACGGCGAAAAAGGTTGAAAAAGGGTTCAAAACTTCAGGACCCGCGGAAAATCTGAAATAAATGACAATGTCAATGAACATAACTCATAAGCGGAATATTTACGGCGAAGAATTAAACACGTTCTAGTGGTTCTACGATAGGGTTGCATACTCTATTTTGATAAAATCTTATACGTGATTTGAGGAAGAATTTGCAATAAATGCTAAAAATTTTCGAAAAAGCTTGCCAAAAATTGTGTTACGGTATTTTCAAATGTTCGATTCCTCTTATACAAGAAATTTTAAACCAACCATTTAGGTCGACAAAGCCGTCAAAGGTCTATTTCTACTGTATTCCATGCAAAAAATATGAACTTTTTTTATGAATATATAATTATAACTTTCAATAATAATGGCCAGAAATTTAATTGTAATGTCATGCACAATTCGCGCATTTTATGTGAAATAAAAACTCTGCAGGATACATTTGTGGACTAACATTCTAAAGATCGGCGTTCATGATTGGTAAATTATCCAATCTTTTGTGGGAAAATACATTATTATAATATTAAAGGCGAAATAGGAGTTTTGTTCATAATCATAAACTTTATATCACGAGGTATTAGGCTACTTACTTATCGTCAAGTATCATGGATAGCAGAGCTATATTAGGTTGTTCGTGTAGGATGCTCGTATATAGGCTATTGAGTATTGGCGTATTGCTATAGTGTCGGGGTGCTATCTTTCAAATTTTTGGTCAGCAGGGATGAAAAGTTCTGAACTTGGGCCTTGCCCGTGGCCCTATAAATGCGGTTTATAAATGTATGATCAGACACTAGCTGGAATATAATATTACAGTCAGAGTTTATTACATGTATGTATATACGTAATCAATTCTGAAATGAGACACAAGGGTTTTCTAATAACTAGGCCTACTAGGCGGGCTAGGGTTTTAATCTTTGCCTTGGGCGATGAATGATGGTGGGTCAATATGTTTCATCATGGTTTGTGTTTAGCACTATAGGCTATATAAACTCGATGGTTTAATTTATAAGGTTAAAAGCAAGACACGGTTTGATCATTTATCAATTTCCTAACTGTGAGATAATAGTGAGAAAAATTTAAATATATTTTATCAACGAGTTATTCAATTTGCGCTGATTTGCAGATCGCATTCGAACGCACAAACATCAGTTCCTAGGCTATATATAGCATATAATATCAAATATCGTCATATAACTCTGCGCAAGAAGACATAGTATTACATACGCAGCCTTTAAATAATTGCTATACATAAATATAGTAATAATTATATCATGTAGCCAATTCACTTAATATAACCAGGTAGTGCCAACAATAACAAGCTTTCGTTCGTATGGATCCAACTACCTGAAAATATAAGGAGAATTTCGACGTTTCGAGCGGCCTTCGCTCAATACGTCGACATTCTCCTTATATTTTTAGATAGTTGCATCCTCACCAACGAAAGCTTGTTACAAGGTTCTAGAAGCTACTATATAATTGAAAACTTACTCTCTGGCTTCTGTATTTGAACGTTGCGAATTCATGTTGTTGACATATATGATACGACAATACCGCCAGACACTCTAACGCAGGTGCACGACTTCTGGTGTTATCATTTGCGTATTTGATCGAAAGGACACGTAGAGCCACAACTTTTCATTTTTCTGATTATTTTGGAGATTTCGCGATACGTTGGACATTCTAAGTCGAAATCTTTACTTGCGGATGGAAATGAACTCAACGAGGACGGCCAATTAAACAAACGACTTTTACATTTCTCTTTAAATAAGTTCTTAAAATAGTCGAAACACGACTGTTCGCCCAAGTTTGGTTCTAGCTCTTGATTGTTTTCAAATTCATTTTTACAAAACTTCCAAAAGTTCTCATTTAATTCATTTTCATAATCCCGCTGGTCATTAACGCTTGACTGCATCCTTTTACGCAATAACTTTGACACATTTTATTTCCTCCAAGCTGCCCCCATTCAGTTTTTAAATCTTTTAAGCATTTTTTAACTTTGATTTTGACATACTTCTATAGTGTTCAAATTTATTAGCCGACTTTACCAAACCACATGTATCTCTAAAGCTAAGTAAGACCAGGTAACGTTATTCATGAATACAATTTCCGAATCCAAGTCTCCCAGCTCTGGTCTAACACTGAATTGCGACTGAAAAAACTCGTTAGCTGCTTTCCAACTAAGATCCGATCGAGGAAGTTTTACTCCGGCCTGATAGCACTTTAAAGTTATCGGTCGGAAACAGAACTTCGGTCATGCTTTCATTACTATTTGCAATAGTAATGCTGTGATCTTGTTGAGCAAACAGTTCACCAAAGCTCCAGTTATTCTGTACAAAGCACGATCGACGATAATAATAATAATAATAATAATAATAATGGAAACTTTATTTTGACATTTTATGTATATACAATTATAAATCTCACTAATTAAGGTAATTTATAATTGACTACTTGAACTATTAATTATTGATAAAACTATATTACAGGTATAAAACTAAGAGAAAGCTCATTCTTAAAATAATGTTCATCAAGTCCGGATCGGTCCAATCCTTGTTTCTACAACAAAATATATAGTACGTTGTTCTGATGGCGATGGACATTATTTTCTTAACACAAAAGTTCTAATAATAATAATAATAATAATAATAAAAATAATAATAATAATAATAATAATAATAATTTTTTAATAATAATTACAACTTTATTCATCATTTCATTATAGACAACAATGCTTTTGTTATCAATGA